GTAACCGCTATCAACTGAAGCTTCGTACGGAGGCTCGCGAGGGAGCCCAGCCTACCAGGGAAGAGTGGACTGAAGATGAATCGTGCCGCCGGACATACTATGCGGTCTACATCTTTTTCGGCATGCTGACACTAACCTTCAACCATACGCCCGCAATGAGCTTTGACGAGATTGATAATCTAGAGCTTCCATCGTCAGAATCGCTGTGGAACCTTGATGCCACGGATGATGAGGCGTGGCGCCGTAGCTTGGCTTCGGCCACTACGCTCACAGTCCGCGAAGCCCACGACTGTCTCTTTCGGGGTGAACAGGTGCGTTACAGCGCTTTTGCAACCCGCGTTCTGATCAACGCTCTGTTCTTACAGGTCTGGAACCACAAACGGAGTTTCGAAGCTCTTCAAGATGTTGTCACTGAGTACAAGCTTCGTCTTGCGCTCGAAACATGGGAGAACTCTCTCGAAGTCTGTGAGCCAGAAACAATTGTGGTGCCCCTCAGCACTCCTCAAAAGGGTCATCCGTTAATCTTCAACTCCATGGCTGTTTATCGCAATACACGCGCTCGTTTGGAGGTCGACCTTAAATCAATTCAAGAGGCATTGCGGTATCATTCCTCCTATGAAGTAGCAGCTGCGATGACCGTTGCCCGTGAGAAAGTGAAGCGTTCCCAAGAGATGAACAAAGTCATTCAGTCCTGCTTCGAATGCATAGAGATTGCTGCCGTTCAAGGCATTAACTGGGTTGCAAGGACTTCTGCCACCAACTGGAGTGTCGAGCATCCGCTCTGTGGCTTGGATCTGATGGTCATCCTCAGTCTCTGGCTCTATCGCCTGGAACACGACGAGGAGCCTGCGACTGAGGCTGAGTTGGCCATCTACAACAAGGTGCGGAATTTGTTTGACGATGATGCCGTCGATGCCTTTGGTAAACTCAGCTCCACCGTGGCCCGTGTATGGGGTAACATCCTGGACGGCGTGGTAGTATGGGGGTAAGTTTGTTTTCTGTTTCAACGCTAACATTAGAGGGTAAAATTCACTAACAAACCTCTAGAATCACCAAACTCATGGGCGAATCGTTCAAACTTCACTCCCAGGCCTTGGTTGGCTACGAAGACTCGTTGCGCGTTGCAAAGGATCAACCGATTCACCCAATGCCTACAAAGACACTGGCTAGTGTGGGCACGGCGTACTAGGCAAGTACGTCGGCTCAGAAGGCTTGCACCACATCTGATTACTTTATTGCCGCTTACGTTACATTTGGCCCTCGGGGTTTGATTCCACCTCCCGTGTTTCTCCCTCTGGCTCGGGTCTCATTATCATTGAATGCATTGTTTTCGCTTCCTCTCGTTTTCCTGGGCATTTGGACATTGGCGGAATCTCGGATTTTAGGGTCGGGATGGAGGAGCAAGAAGGTGGGCGGCCAAGTTTTGATTTCCGGTTATGGAACGCTATGATCTGAACCGCCGCATAATGCTTCTTGCTGGTGTCTCCTGACTGACGTTTCCTGTTTAATTGTTTTGTCACGTCTTTCCTTGCGTTATTCATGGTCATTCCTGTGTTGGTTTTTGCAAGAGCTCACAGGAGTCCGGTGTGGTCTTTTTTTTCTTCTTTTTTCTTTTTCTTTGCTTTTTCTTTTTCTTTTTTCACGGGCAGTTTCCCAAGGCAACATCTCGACACCCGGCTGGTCCTGTGTGTTCTTCACTTTAGCACTCGGTGGAGTTGTTGTTTTCTTCATACTCGTCATTACACTCTTAATCCTTAGTGCTTCCCCTCTGCGCATCAGCGTGTTTGGTCAATTTGCCAGTCGATTTGTCCCCTGATCATTTGATACCTTGTCCGTTATATATTCGCTTTAAATGTTCTCTTCAAGTCACTCTTTTTCATATACTTTGCTCTATTATTTTTATTTCCTTCTGAGCTTTTGCCTTAATGTATGTGAGTTAGAATCGTTCTGAGTTTATGTGTTCATGCCGTGCCCGCCATCGATGTTTGCGTTCTTTCTCTCCCCCCTCGTTATTTTTGACGTTTGCTGTTTATCGCTACTGTTTTTGCCTTTGCTCTTGCAACTTCGTTCTTGAAGATGTTTCTTTTTATTGTGTTTATTTGATATTACTTGTCGTTTGCTTGCACATGGTTTTGCGTTGTAGTACCCTGTACTATAAGTAATTTGAGCACAAAATACAATTTGATTTGAGCGGGGAAATTGTTCAGGTTATATAAATCATCAACTCATTGCAGGTTCTACTAACTTTGTAGGTAGACTTTTTCATGTATGTATGTACTGTACATGCCCTTCAAACATCGATTACTATTTACAAACGGGTTCTACCAACCCCCGAGTCCACCCCAAGGAGCCCGTAATGATAACAAAGAACCCCAACGCCACCCCGATGCTCATAATTCCATAGAAATACGCATGCCGTCGGCGGCTCAATCCATTTAATTCAACCACCCACGTACTGATCGTGGTTGCGGAGCCACAAAATCCATCCATAACACCGGCAAGCACCTGGCAGCTCGTGCGAATAGACGGACCGGGCCCGGAGCCCAGAGAAGATGCCCCGATGCCATCTACATGCTGCAAGTCGAAGCACATGGCGAGGATAATGGTACCAAAGATATTTACAACAAATGTGCCCAACGGGAAGGCGGGGAGTCGGGCATTCAGCGCTAGAGAGAGGTAGTAGCGCAGGAAGCAGCCGAGTGGGGCGAAGACGATGGCGAACACGGCGCGACCACGCCAGGCTTCTGGACCAGGGTCTTGGCGATCCGGGGGCCAGATTGCGAGGAAGATAGCACCCAGCCAGCATCCCCAGCTGAGGAAGACGAAGAGGGGGTCTAGGAATCGGCGGGTGAAGCGGAGGGGGAACGCTGGGATTAATGGATCGAGCGCGAGCGCGAGGTGAGCTCCGAAGATGAGCGCACCGAGACTGAGGCCGACCGTGGTGAGAATGACGGCTACCAGGGCCATGAAGCTGTATCCACCACTGCGCGACGTTATGCTGGAGGCTGAGGGATCCGGAAGGTCGTTGGATAGGGCCAGGAAGATGTCGCGGATAAAGCTCGAGAAGGAGGTGAAGCAGCCACAGAATCCGGTTGTTAGACCGATGTATAACGGGATTGTCTTCTTGACGGATTTGTGACGTTTCGCTTCGATGCTCGGGTTCCCTCCGTTGTTCCGGTTCATATCACCCCACTCCTCGCGAAAGAGATTCTTGTCTTCGAGGAAGAAGCCCATCAGTAGCGATCCTCCCACGTTGGCCCAGAGAACACCCGTCATCACTGGAGCCCCCGGGTAGATGGTCAGGGCTTGCAGACCGAGACGCGCCAAAGTCCCGAGAATGGCGAAGAAGACCAGGTATGAGAGGATAAAAAGGTGCGTAGCATGTTTGGAGAGGGGGCCTGCGATAGATGGTTCAACGGGACCGTAGGGAGGCTTGTCGGTGGTAAGAGGCGGCGCTTGAGTTTCTGTCAACTGGGTGTCTGGGTCTTCGGAAGGTACGGCATCGATCGGCATGTCGTAAGATAATCAGCCGTATAATTCATATAATCACTATTGTGTGCATTGCCTTGGAAGGGAAGAGTGAAGATTGGACGAAGAGAGTGGGTCATGTTCATTTATGGGTAGTATCTTAGTGGGATAAACAATGATTTTAATTGTTGATAGACTGCTGATAGTAGCGATCATTGATAGCTTATCAGTTCCCGAAGTCGAGGCAAAGATAACTTCAAGTTAAAAGAAACCAGTGAGTGAGTGATCTGGGAGAAGGGGGGAAAGGAATGGGAGAGTTAATAAACTTAGAAGAGGTGCAGTGCAGTACTAGTAAGTAAGTAAGTACCTTGAAGTTCGGAGGGGAAGAAAGAAAAGAAAACTGGCACTGGCAGTCCTTGAGCAGGTGACTGAACAACACAACCCCTCACTTTCTCTGTGATGTGTATATAATTATCATACATCCTTTGTTCCCCCCCCCCCCCCCCCCCTCGCAAGATCTCATCCAATTCATCTCTGAGTCTCTACTTCATTACGACTTCCAACCCAGATTATCCCTAGTACCCCAAGATGTCTCTCCCTCCGAATGTCCATGTCTCCTCTCACCCCTGCCTCCAAGCCAAGATATCCCAGCTACGGTCTCATCAAACCTCGACCCGCGAAACAAGGAGCCTTGTGCAAGAGATCACAACTATTCTAGGTGTGGAGGCCTTTGCAACAGTGCTGAAATCCACAAAGCGGGGAACGGTAACGATTGATCGCCCCTGATCGTATTTAATCGACGATGTTGATCCACTTTCTAGGATCAAACCCCATTAGGTATCGAATATGAGACTCAAGATATTGAGCCGGCCAATGTTGCCCTGGTACCCATTCTCCGTTCGGGATTAGGCATGACTGAAGGTACCCGCTATTCTCTCACCCCTACCGGAGTGTATCAGGTCTCACTAGATGTTACAACCAACTAGCAATCAACAATCTCCTCCCCCGCCCGGTCCCCATCTACCATCTAGGTCTCTTTCGTGAGAAGCTCACACTTCAGCCCGTCGAATACTACAACAATCTCCCTTACCACCGCCAGGAAAACTCTAGCGTCAACAGCGCTGCCGCTGACACAGCCATCCTTGTTGACCCCATCGTTGCCACAGGTGCCACAGCCGAAGCGGCAATTCACCTCCTGCGTGAATGGGGGGTAAGACGCGTGGTCATGCTCAGCGTGCTAGGCTCCGAAATGGGCATTCGCCGGGCCATAGACTCCTGGCCTGAGGGGGTAGAGTTTTGGATAGGAGCGGTGGACGAGAAATGTAATGAGCGGGGTATGATTGTTCCTGGCTTAGGTGATATCGGTGATAGGTTGTTTGTTGCCATTGGAAAGTAGGAACAGACCATATGATTTGATCGTTTCCAGACGCAAAAATCCAATTGTCCCTCTGTAGGCCATATACATAGATAAATATATATATGTATTCCGTACATTAGTATGGCAGATCCAGAAAAAAGGCTGGAAAAAAGAATGCCCCCACGCGGGATTGAACCGCGGACCTCGTCATTCACTAGTATGATATCATTACTACGAGTGACGCGCTTCGTACCACTGAGCTATAAGGGCAAATTTTTGATATTTTCTGCCTTTTTAAATTGGTTTAAAAGGGGGTATTGAAGAATACCATACAAGAGTACCACTTCACTGTTAAAAGTAGAAATTAGTGCTGAAAGTCTAGTGACTGTTGTAAGAAGATTGTGTTCTTGAGATTTATTTATATTACACTTCATTTATCAACTTGAAACATACCTTGGATGTTATAGGAAGTATATGAGGCCAACCTTCTTGGTTGAATATGCAAGTCGAAGAAATTATAGCACAGTGTGTATCGGAATTCTTTTGCCTTTGATTGATTTTTTCATATATGGTGAAATATGAACCCCTTTTATCATCCAATGGGACGATGGCGCAGTTGGGAGCGCGTTCGACTGAAGTTCAACTTCAATCATTAGCCATTTCAGGTACATCGAGAGGTCGTCGGTTCAAACCCGGCTCGTCCCAGCTTCTGTTTCCTTTTTTTATATCTTGATATATTTTCTTCAACTTATATATCTAAATGACGCTCTTACTGACCCAGGGTAGGGCACGAGTCCAATCAGAAAGTTCAACCAATCAGTCACTTGGTGGGCCGCCACCTGCGATTCGGTCCCTTAATTTCGCAACGACAACGTTCATTTGCAACCTCGTAAATAAGCATCGTGATAGGGCACGGGGGAATGAGGGACTCCATCCACCACTTACTGGATGGTGAAAAGGCTGCCCATGGAAGGGGGTCTGGGACTCTGGGAGCTTCTTTGTGAATACCCTTGACGGAGGGCGCCCAGCTTTGAATCAGCCGCCACAGCATCTGTCTGAGACTCTTGTTGGCTTGTTTGAGCAGATCTCGCTTCGTCCAATCTGCTGGAAATTAAATTGTGACAATTGGGACTTGGCCAACCCGCGTCTGCTTGGATCGATCCATAACTCTGCGACAATCTCCACCATGTCCCAATCCACGTCGTCCGTGAACGCTCTCCCCTTCTTTATGATAGATTCTGTCTGAATCTTTTCTTTCTTTGTTTCATTGCCAAGGATCTTCTGAAAGGCTGTCCATTCCTTTTATTATTATTTTCTCACTTTCTGACACTGAGATAGAGTCTCATCTCATATCAGCTTACCACTGGTTATCACTCGTTGATTTTCTTTCTTTGTCTCAAGTCCTTTTACTACCGCTAAAATCAATATTGCTGAGCCGCACAACTCGAGCAAATGGCCAGAGGGCTTTTTATGGGGAAACCGCGGGCCCCGCGGGACACAGATGTCTCCAAACCCGTCTCCAAATATACAGGTCCGCGACCACGAAATGACCCCAAGGCTCTAGGAAACGGTAGCACACCTCACCATACCCCGATCCATCAGGCTCATTGGGACTTTCGGCGTCCTCGAACGTCAGACGGACGCCGGCATGACAGGAAGGTAGAACAACCAGGACATGGATTCGATTTTCGGATAGCGGTGCCCCCTGCTGAAGCGATACCACCTCCAACAGACAGCCAAAGTGGCTCGGAAGAGAATATGATCGGAATAGCTCTAGGCAGTCCCCGTTTAGTAGACGCACAAAACACCTTTGCGCGGATGCAAGAGACGGCGTTGGAGCCGACGCAAGAACGCTCCAAAGCCCCGCAGCTCCAACGAAAGCCGAGCAAGTGGAGGAAAATTGGCGGATTATTCAAGGCGAAAAATGCCACGGCGTCGTGCACCAGTCAGCCTTTTTACCAGGTCCAGGGTCATGTCAGTAGGGAGGCGCCTCTTTTGCAGGGCTCTTCACATTCCATCGACTATCAGCCTCGCGAGGCGAACCCTGTCACGAATATGGAGGTTTGGGCATGTCTTGGGTTGGAGAACAAACCGGATCAAGGAAACCAGCAAAGTGCCAAAACCGCACATGGATCTACTCAGGATGATCAATCTGTCGAGCCAGAGCCCGGGCCCTTACTGCAGGTCGATATTCCAAGTGTTGAGTTGGAACGATACAGTGTGATGTTTAGCGCTCTGCTCAACAAAAACGAACCTTCCTTATTAAACAGACGCAGCAAACGCCTAGAAATTATGAGTGCTCCCGATATTGAGGTAAATCGTCTAATCATCCCTCCGGGATTAATAGCTTACAACATACTAAACCTGCACCAGGCATCGCCCCCGCCACCAGAGTTGCTTCCACCTCAACAAAACATCGCCGCATCACCAAGCGCAAACTCCCCAAGACTCTCATTATTCCCAGCAACGCCCAATGGCCAGGTTTCAAACATACCAGACACCCAAAACAGACGTCGAAGCCCCAGTCCTTTGCCCCGAAACCAAGTCGCTAGGGCAAAGTCACGACAGGAAGACACCTCGAATGAAGAACATGTCGTCTTCATGCTCCACAGTGAGGCTGTGGGATCGCATAAGCACCAGGAATCAGAATCATCTTTTGTCTCAACCACATCCATCGGCCCAGGAGATGAAACGCTTCTTGTACGAAGGCTTAAGCCGGTCCAAACTTACGTCGACCCCACAGGGGAACCCAAATGGGAGATGGTCAGCAAGCGGAAGCCACCTACAGACAAACCAAAGAAGAAATCACCTCCAGCACTCTCACTCAACACTCATGTATTGCCAGCCGAGCCAACCAGCAGTGAGTCGACCGTATCGTCTTCGATCCTCTCGCCTCTCACTCAAAGATTTTCTCCTTTGGGAAGTAATAAAACCACGATTTCCCCAGCAGACACCATCCGCATGCCTCTCGGAAATGACACCGCGAGCGAAAATAGCAAGACGACAGATGAGCCCACAGATCGCATCCCAGACCAAGAATCAGAGTCCGAAGCAGAAGCCGAACAGGGACAGGAACAAGACCCAGCCGAGCCACCCCCAACCATTGAAATCTCCATCGCAAGATCCGTCTCTGTCTCCAAGAGAAAGCAAGTCTTAGTCCCAGTGGGCCGCCGCGCCGATCGTTTCACTCCCAGAACCATAACTCCCCAGCTGGTGAATGGGCAATCCCGTTACCAACATGGTAATCCCAAAGCCACACGTGTCGAAACTGTATAAGATGCACCAGCATTGGCATCTTGCGTTGCGTTATTTATTTTCTAGAACCCCCCCCCACCACCCCTCTGAGTAATTGTGACTTGACTGGACACTTTTTCAACTTTCAACTTTCATTTTACTTTTTTTTTTTTGGCCTGCATTCAAATAATCCTTACAGCAGCATCGGAGCTGATGGTTTCTTGACTTATATCATGCATCTTCGCTGCGTCGTTGACGGCGATTTGCATTTTCATTCCTTCTAGAACATAGCCTCGCGGACGTCCTTTCCTTTTACCATGATTATTTTCTGTGTCTTTTCTTTTTGGTGGCGCCGAAAGCGAGAACCGGGTTTGCCTTTGCATTTCTTCTTATGGGAGCTTAGATTTTCTTTTAAAAAGGGTAGGAATAGTGGTTAATTAATGATTACCACTAGGTGTTTTTTTATATATTCTTCAACTTGGAATTTGGTTCATCCATCCGTTCCGTGCATTCGATATACTTCCTTTTGTTTCAAATTTCTTATCGTGATATATCTCGGTAGGTATCTTATCTTGGCTTAGATCATTCAATTGATTTGCTTCATAAGCTTCGTTCTATAGGTCTATTTATCTTTATGCATAGATCGCCTCAGCTCTTTTCTGGGAAATTGGCCGATTCCGGCAAAACCTGTTTCCCAGGGCCCATATCCACTTCCACGTTGGGGAGAGTCCATTCCATACCGGGATATGAATCGCTGATGACCTTGATCGTGATCCCATTCTTAGCTGCTGTGTTTGGGAACTTAACAGACGACCGGATTGTGAGAGCAGGTCCACCCTTGTGGTTGTTTCTGTCTCCGGGCTTCTTGCTGGGACCGGCGCTATTGTTACTGCGGTTATTGCGACACTGTCTCTCCTTGGGAGGCCAGGAGATCCGCTTCAGCGCGAGTAATTCTCCTTCATTACCGTCTGGAGTTGTGCTGCAGACGATCAAGAAGTAGCCTTCCGTCTGTGGCTTTGGGAATCGAGGCGCGTAGGTCCTGTATCCAGAGTCCATTGCGGGATTGCGTCGGGTCAAGGATACGGTGATACCGGTTTTTGAGACGTTGGAGACCGATACCGACAAATTTGGCAGGTATGAGGCAGCTTTGGTGAATTGGGCGGCCTGAGGAGGAGAAAGCTGTAGCTGATTGGAGAGCGAAGACATAGCAGTCGCGGGTAGAGATGAGAGTGCAACGAGAGAACGCGGAAGGGCGGGTGCTTTGGCATTGACACCGACGCCGGGAAGAATCGACAGTGGGATGTCTTCGGGCCATCTGGCTGACTTGATACATTGAAGCAGGGACATCAGCATTTGACAAGCACTCAGGTAGCCCAGCTCGGCCATGACATCAATGGAAGCCTGCAGAATACGGATGCCTTGGTCCAGAACAGAGGTCTGATCTCCGACATAATCGGAAATCGGAAGATCGATTCGCGACATATAAGCTTGAAGCAACAAGAATGCTTTCACGTGAGGGTCCCACAGTGGTAGATCTCCCATTGATTCAACAGATAGCGGTAGATTCTGAGCCAACTCTGCATTAATGAGATCTTCATTGTGTCGGACAGGCAGTTCGTCGAATTCTGTTGCGGAACACATCCAACTTAGGACATCGTGGAACGTAGGATTAGGTTTTGCGTGTGTCATGAGGTACCGAATCGTCTTATGTGACAGGTAGTAGTAACTCATGATCTTGCCATAGGGTGTCGGGTCAACATCACCTGTTGCAGAGTCAAGGACGACGCACGACGACGATGCTAGTTCTCCGAGTGATTTATCGACCAGATCAATCATGAAATCTTGGGCTATCGTCTGAGCGGCCATAGTGTTATGCTCCTCCGCCGAGATTTCAAGGCCATAGTACGAAGGGTTCTTGTGCAGTCTCCGGAAGAAGAAGGTCCAAGTCAAGTAATCGAGAGCATCTTGTTTTGTTGAGATTGTTCCCGCAGACACTTCAGCTCCTAAATGGTTATCGAGAACTTTGTGCAAAGTGG